ATTATTGAAAAATTTTTTCTTATAAACTTTATTGCTGTTAAATAAACCACTTTTTTTTCTTTTGCTAGTTTATTATTTTTGCTTAGATATTTTTTATAATTAATTATTTTTTTTTTATATATTAATTTAATAGGTTTTTTTTTTGCTATTTAATTATCAAAAAAATTTACTGTAAACGTTATTAATTTGATAATCAATTGAATCATAACGACGATTTCACAGATTACACACTTTTATGGTTGGTTAATGTTGGGTTACCGTAGTCAACGATATGTACAGTTTAGTTGATAGAGCAGTGTAATTGCAGCAATTGGTGATGCCATATTGGATATGATGAAAGCACTGTATTTTTTTTTACCTCGTGACTGTGTGGAACAGATTCCATATTTGTTGGCTTCACAACTCGGTGTTTTTCCGGCTGAATTGGATAAGAAACTTTTGCAATTACTCTGCGATTGTTTTATACCATTTACATTGGCCTCATCCGAATATATCACTGTTCCAGCAGTTTTAATGCTTGTCTTTCAACACTCATCTGATCCAAGTATAAATCCTTTTATCTGTTTCCTTTTTTTTTTTTCATCTTTTACTTTCATTATCTTTTCATTATTTTTTGTATTCATAAAGCATCAAATTTTACTTCTTTTACTGTTGTTGTTGTTTTTTTTCAATTACATTTTTTTTTCTAGCTTTTATTTATTTATTTAGTAACAGAATATCGCTTTTTTTTTTCCTGTTACTTATTTAGCATTTACAGTAAGAATCATTTGAATGTTGTCTATCTTTCCTTCTTTTTTTTTGTTTTTTTTGAAAAATAAACAACGAAAACGACAGTAAAGAGACAGGGATTATAGGTGAACAGAATTAACACATTAATATTAATGTGAGAAATAAATTTGATTTATTTTTTTATTTCTATTTCTTTTTTTTGTTGCTTTTTACACACTAATTTACTGTACAAAAAAAAAAAGCTTATTATTTTTTGCTGATAGTTGTAAGCCAAACTGATGATTAAATAAAAAGAACAACAAAAAATAAAGAAAATTTAATGAGATAATATAGTAAAATAAATTATTGATATCATTTACACCTAACGAATAATTCATTGCAATTCTTTTTCATTCTTTAAATCTTCCTTTTTTTTTTTTTTTTT